GACTCCCAAAGTGCTGGGATTAAAGGCTGAGCCACCTTGCCTGGCCAGTATTGTTTTTATTTTTATTTATTTATTTATTTTTGAGACAGAGTCTTGCTCTGTCATCCAAGCTTGCTCTGTCATCGTGCAGTGGCACGATGTTGGCTCACTGCAACATTCACTTTCCAGATTCAAGAAGATTCTCCTGCTTTAGCCTCCCGAGTAGCAGACTCCAGGTGCCCACCACCACGCCTGGCTAATTTTACTGTTTTTAGTAGAGGCGGGGTTTCATCATGTTGGCAAGGATGGTCTTGAACTCCTGACCTTGTGATCCACCCACCTCGGCCTCCCAAAGTGCTGGGATTACAGGCATGAGCTACCATGCCAGCCAATAAATACAATTTTTAAAATAGCCTGGGCACAGTGGCTCACACCTGTAATCCCAGTACCTTTGGGAGGCTGAGGTGGGTGGATCACAAGGTCAGGAGTTTAAGACCATCCTGGCAAACAGTGAAATCCTGTCTGTACTAAAAATATAAAAAATTAGCCAGATGTGGTAGCATGTACTTAGGATTTTAAGGTGGGAGGATCAATTGAGCCTGGGGGATGGAGACCAGCCTAGGCAACATTGCAAGACCCAGTCTCTACACAAAATTTAAGAAAATAAATTATCTTGGTGTGGTGGCACATCCCTGTGACCTTAGCTACTTGGGAGGCCAAGGCGGGAGAATCCTTGAGGCTGGGAATTCCAGACTGCAGTGAACTTTGATCAGTGAGTGCCAGCAACTGCACTCCAGCCTGGGCAGGGAAGCGAGACTCTTGTCTGGAAAAAGAAAAAAACACACACAGGACACTTACTTATTGTGTTAGGTGTGGGTTATATGGCCATATCAAAATGTCAAACTAATTAAGAATTGTGCATTTTAATGTATATAAATTTTACCTTAAAAATTTTGTAGGGAGTGGCTAGAGGTATAGATGACAATTGAGGCAGAATGTTCGGGCCGGGCGCGGTGGATCACGAGGTCAAGAGATTGAGACCATCCTGGTCAACATGGTAAAACCCCGTCTCTACTAAAAAAAATACAAAAAATTAGCTGGGCATGGTGGCGTGTGCCTGTAATCCCAGCTACTCAGGAGGCTGAGGCAGGAGAATTGCCTGAACCCAGGAGGCGGAGGTTGCGGTGAGCCGAGATCGCGATATTGCACTCCAACCTGGGTAACAAGAGCGAAACTCCATCTCAAAAAATAAATAAATAAGGCGGAATGTTTATCATTCATGAAGCTTGGTATTGGGAATATTAGGGGAATGTACTGGGTTTTTTTGTTTGTTTGTTTTATAATTCACTTACTCTGGATATGGAAGTACAACTATATTTCTAGGGAATCCACCCAGAGTGGTTTTGTGGACTAGTGAGGCGTTGTGTTTTCAATTTTACCAGACGCTGCTTTGTTACTTTCTAGAATCAAAACTCTTCCCCCAATCAAATAGTTTCCTGCCAAAAAAAAAAAAAAATCTCTCCATGTTGCCCAGGCTGGTCTGGAACTCCTGGGCTCAAGCGATCCTCCCTCCTTGTCCTCCCTAGGTGCTAAGATTACAGGTGTGAGCCAAGAAACTTGGCCCCCTAAAATTTTTCTTTCTTGCCAGACACAGAGAAACCTTAGGAGCATAATTATTTTGAGGCTGGGTATGGGTTCAGATAGCCTAGGTTCAAATCCCTGGTTCTTTTGAGAGTTTTAAGAGTCTGGGTATGTGACTTAATTTCTTTAACCCCAGTTTCATCTGTTAATATTTACCTTACTGGCTTTTGAGAGAATTAAGTAAAATAAGCCACTGAGTCCTAAAGTACAGAGATCGCTGGTGTGAAATAAATAAATAAAATAAAATAAAAATAAGCCACTGAAGCCAGGTGCGGTGGCTCAAGCCTGTAATCCTAGCACTTTCGAAGGCCGAGGCGGGCAGATCACGAGGTCAGGAGATGAAGACCATCCTGGCCAACATAGTGAAACTCTGTCTCTACTAAAAATACAAAAATTAGCCAGGCATGGCTGTGTGTGCCTGGAGTCCCAGCTACTCAGGAGGCTGAGGCAGAAGAATTGCTTGAACTTAGGAAGCGGAGTTTTCAGTGAGCTGAGATCACACCACTGCCTCCAGCCCCGAGCAACAGATTGAGAATCTGTCTCCAAGGAAAAAAAAAAAGGATAAGCCACTGAAATCACTGGATATATAGGCTGACACCAGCAGCCAGTGTTATGATTCCGGTCAGGCCTGCCCCTGTTTGGGGTCTCAGCCGAGCTCATTGCCTTCCCACCCACCCAAGGGTGCCTGCATTTCTCTTGCCTCATTATTTGGAAGGCCTAGTTCAGCTTGGCACATTTGAACCCTGGCCCACTGATGCTGGTACCCCTGCGAAGGCTCTGCTCTAAAAAACAATGAGATTTTAATTTTTTTAGATGGTCTCGCTCTTTCACCCAGGCTGGAGTGCAGTGGCGCGATCTCAGCTCACTGCAACCTCTGCCTCCCAGGTTCATGTGATTCTCCTGCCTCAGTCTCCTGAGTAGCTGGGATTACAGGTGCATGCCACCACGCCCGGCTAGTTTTTGTATTTTCAGTAGAGACAGGGTTTCACCATGTTGGCCAGGCTGGGCTTAAACTCCTGACCTTGTGATCTGCCCACCTCAGCCTCCCAAAGTGCTGGGATTACAGGCATGAGCCACCGTACCCAACCAACACTGAGATTTTAGTTGCTACTGAAAACTTGAGAGATGGAGAGACAGGGAGACCTCCCGTCTGTGGAGCTGTGTCCCTCCAAGTGGGATTGAGACCTTGGGGCCATCATTCCAGGACAGCACCTCCTGGCTTGTTGACTGAATAGCTCCCTGAGGGAGGTGTACTTGCACTAATAGAGTGGGGATGGGGGCAGTACCACAGATCCACACTAACAATCACACAGTTCTCTAGAATAATAATATAGAACAAATAAAATAGAACAATTGCACAAACAGCTAACCTTTGTTGAGCCCTTAGTGTGTGCCCAGCACTTTCCTCAGCGCTTCACATTTCCCATAATACACAGGGAGCTAGGCCAGGTGCCGTGGCTCATGCCTGTAATCCCAGCACTTTAGGAGGCTGAAGTGGGCAGATCACCTGAGGTCTGGAGTTCAAGACCAGCCTGGCCAACATGGTGAAACCTTATCTCTACTAAAAATAGAGGATGTGGTGGCTGCGTAATCCCAGCTACTTGGGAGGCTGAGGCAGAAGAATCGCTTGAATTCAGGAGGTGAAGGTTGCAGTGAGCTGAGATCGCGCCATGCACACCAGCCTGGGCAACCAGAGCCGAAACTTGTCTCAAAAAAAAAAAAAAAAAAAAAAAAAAAGAACCTGCCCTTAAAGGAGTGTTTTGATAGGAGGATGTTTTGTCAGTGCAAGACAGAAAAGTGTAACGAACACTTATATTAGGCATGTTTTTTATGACAAATTTGGCAGAAAGAGCATCCAGCATGGGCAACATAGGCCTCTCCAACAAAAAACTAAAAAATTAGCCAGGCATAGTTGTGCATGCCTGTGTGTTTCCAGCTACTCGGGAGGCTGAGGTGGGACAATCACTGAGCCCAGGAGGCCGAGGCTACAGTGAGCCACGATTGTACCACTGCACCCTAGCTAGCCTAGGCAACAGAGCAAGACCCCGCCTCAGAAAAAAAAAAAAAAGAGAAACATGAAGCCTTTGAAAGCTTGTCTGGGAGAAGGTGAGATGATAGTTGCATAACTTCGTGCAAGATGCTGCCCCTTGTTTCTTCTTGCACCCTTGACCGCTCAGAACAGACACGTGTGCTATTCACCGCATTTATTGAGCCCAAGCAGGTGCAAGGCATTGTGCTGTAATGCTTTGGTCAACAAGGCAGCAGGATAGATTACTGCCCTGCCCTTAGGAAATGTATATGCTATTAGAGGAAAGGTGAAATAAACAAGGAAAAGTATCAGGCTGTGTAAGTGCTATGAGAATGCTAATAGGGTGATATGAATTAAAATAGGATGAGTTGATGAAGCCTTTGTGGAAAGAGCCTACCCTCAGGTCGGGGATGGAGTGTTCCCTGCTGAGGGAGCCACCAGTTGATTAGCGGAGAAGGGCAGCCAGTCTAGCTAGAGCTTCTGGGGAAGTGTGAGTGGTTGGTAAGAGATGAGATTATAGAAGCCGAGAAGAGCCGCTCCTGAGGGGTTTGTAATGCTGGGCTGAGGAGTGTCCCAAGAGAATGGGCAGGTGAGAGGTGAAACAGTTGTTCTTCCAGAAGCTTTGCAGTGAAAGAAATCAAAGAAATAGAGCCATGTATGAGGTAGGGGAGGATGGGAGTAAGGGGGTGTCCTTTCCCATACAGAGACTGCAGACTAAGAACAACTGCATCCTTGTTAACGGGAAGCGGGGGCAAAGTGTGGTGGTGCATGCCTGTAATCCCAGCACTTTGGGAGGCTGAGGCGGGCTAATCACCTGAGGTCAGGAGTTCCATAACAGCCTGGCCAACATAGTGAAACCCTGTCTTTACTAAAAATGCAAAGATTAGCTGGGCGTGCTGGCACACACCCGTAATCCCAGCTACTCAGGTGGCTGAGGCAGAAGAATGGCTTGAACCCAGGAGGTGGAGGTTGCATTGAGCTGAGATGGCGCTACTGCACTCCAGCCTGGGCCACAGAGCAAGACTCTGTCTCAAAAAAAAGACAAAATACAGGAAGGGAGTTGGGAATAGGGTACACATTTAGGAAGTCGGTGGGAAGGTTGGAAGTCTCTCTCTGATTCTTTTCCTCAAAGAAGTGCCTGGCTGGGGAGGAGTGGGGCAGGAATGCCTGGGTTGTGGTGAAAGATTGAAAGATAGAGTATGAGGCACCTGTTCTGTTCCTGCTCCTCGGGAAGCCGTGCTGTCTCAGACCCTGGCATAGTGTTGGGGGAAGGGGTTTCCTTCTCCACAGGCCCAGGTGACCCAGGGTTGGAAGTAACTCATGCTAGATATCCCCACTTTTCCCCTTGCAGCAGCCAGACTGCCTTCAGGGTCAGTGCCATGGAGGAGCCGCAGTCAGATCTCAGCATCGAGCCCCCGCTGAGTCAGGAAACATTTTCAGACCTATGGAAACTGTGAGTGGATCCAGGAGAAGGGCAGGCCCACCATCCCCACCCCAACCCCAGCCCCCTAGCAGGGTTCCCTGTGGGAAGCAAAAAAAAACAAATCCACTGACTTTCTGCTCTTGTCTTTCAGACTTCCTGAAAACAACATTCTGGTAAGGACAAGGGTTGGGCTGGGGACCTGGCAGGTTGTGGGGTTTGGTGGGTACCTGGTCCTCTGACTGCTCTTTTCACTCATCTGCAGTCCTCCTCGCTGTCCCAACCGGTGGATGATTTGATGCTATCCCCAGATGACATTGACATTGCACAATGGTTGAGTCAAGACCCGGTTCCAGATGAAGCTCCCACAGTTTCAGAGGCTCCTCCCGCCATGGCCCAGGCACCGGCAGCTCCTACATTAGTGGCCCCCACACCAGCCCCCTCCTGGCCCCTGTCATCCTCTGTCCCTTCCCAGAAAACCTACCATGGTGACTACGGTTTCCGTCTGGGCTTCTTGCATTCTGGGACAGCCAAGTCTGTGACTTGCACGGTCAGTGGCCCTAAGGGTCTGGCTTCCATGGACTCCCAATGCCTGGCCATACCCCCTGCATTTCCTTTGTTTGGAACTTCGGGATTCCTCTTCACCCTTTGGCTTCCTGTCAGTGTTTTTACAGCTTACCCATTTAATCTGTGATCTCTGACCCCTGTTTCAAAGTTGAATTTTTTCCCCTTGATTTTGAGCTTTTATCCATTCCGTCACACCCACAGCATCTCTCCTGTAGATGCAGAACTTTTTTTTTTCTTCACCCACATTCATTCCGTGGCTTTTGAAAATATGCTCCTGACCAGGCTCGGTGGCTCACTCCGGTAATCCCAGCACTTTGAGACGCCAAGGCAGGCAAATCACCTGAGCCCAGGAATGCAAGACTAGCCTGGGTAACATAGTGAAACTCCAACTCTGTCTCTACAAAAAACTTGGTTGGGCGCGGTGGCTCACGCCTGTAATCCCAGCACTTTGGGAGGCCAAGGTGGGAGTTCGAGCCAGCCTGGCTAACATGCTGAAACTCCGTCTCTACTAAAAATACAAACATTAACTGGGCGTGGAGGCAGGCACCTGTAATCCTGGCTACTCGGGAGTTTGAGGCTGGAGAATCGCTTGAACCCAGGAGGTTGCAGAGAGCCAAGTCCAGGCCATTGCACTCTAGCGTGTGACAGAGCGAGACTCCATCTCAAAATATACATATATAAAATTAGCCAGGCATGGTGGTGCACACCTATAGTCCCAGCCACTCAGATGACTGAGGTGGGAAGATCGCTTGAGCCTGGGAGGTGGAGGCTGCAGTGAACTGTGATCATACCACTGTGCTCCAGCCTGGGTCACAGAGCAAGACCCTATCTCCAAAAAAATAAGCTCCTGAGGTGTAGATGCCAACCCTCTCTAGCTCCCTAGTGGCTTGCAGGAGGTGCTTACGCGTATTTGTTTCTTTGCTGCCCTCTTCCGGTTGCTTTGTTTGTTCACTTGTGCCCTGACCTTCAACTCTCTCTCCTTCTTCCTACAGTACTCCCCTGCCCTCAACAAGATGTTTTGCCAGCTGGCCAAAACCTGCCCCGTGCAGCTGTGGGTTGATTCCACACCCCCACGTGGCACCCGCGTCCGCGCCATGGCCATCTACAAGCAGTCACAGCACATGACGGAGGTCGTGAGGCGCTGCCCCCACCATGAGCGCTGCTCAGATAGCGATGGTGAGCAGTTGGGTCTGGAGAGCAGATGGGGCTGGCTACCCAGTGTCCCCAGTCCTCTGACTCCTCACTGATTGCTTTTAGGTCTGGCCCCTCCTCAGCATCTTATCCGAGTGGAAGGAAATTTACATGTGGAATATTTGGATGACAAAAACACTTTTCGACATAGTGTGGTGGTGCCCTATGAGCCGCCTGAGGTCTGGTTTGGCAACTGGGGTCTCTGGAAGGGGGGGTAAGGGTGGTTGTCAGTGGCCATCCAGGTGACCAGTAGGGGGGATTTCTCCTGCTTCTTATTTGACCTCCCCATAATTCCACAAGATGTGCAGAGTAAATGGGTCTACCCATTGCACAGTTGAAAAAACTGAAGCTTACAGAGGCTAAAGTCATCCCCTGTTCGCCACACATCTCCCCAAGACCCTCACCTTGGGCCTACGTTCTCTCCCAGGTCGGCTCTGATTGTACCACCATTCACTACAACTACATGTGTAACAGTTCCTGCATGGGCGGCATGAACCGGAGGCCCATCCTCACCATCATCACTCTGGAAGACTCCAGGTCGGGAGCCACATGCTGCCCTGCACACTGGCCTACTCCTCCCCAGTCTCTGCCTGCCTCTGACCCTTGGACCCACTTCTTACTGATTTCTTCCATACTACTACCCATCCTCCTCTCATCACATTCCCAGAGGGGAATCTCCTTACTGCTCCCGCTCTGTTTGCTTTTCTCTCACTTTGGGACCTCTCTTACCTGTGGTTTCTCCTCCACCTACCTGGAGCTGGAGCTTAGGCTCCAGAAAGGACGAGGGTGGTTGGGAGTAGATGGAGGCTGGTTTTTTTCAACAGGACAGGTAGGACGTGATTTCTTTATTGCCTCCTGCTTCTCTCTTCCTATCCTGAGTAGTGGTAATCTGCTGGGACGGAACAGCTTTGAGGTGCGCGTTTGTGCCTGTCCTGGGAGAGACCGGCGCACAGAGGAAGAGAATTTCCGTAAGAAAGGGGAGCCTTGCCTCGATCTGCCCCCTGGGAGCACTAAGCGAGGTAAGCAAGCAGGACAAGAGGTGATGGAGGAGACCAAGGGTGCAGTCCTGCCCTGGATTCACTCTTTTATCACCTTTCCTTGCCTCTTTCCCAGCAATGCCCAATAGCACGAGCTCCTCTCCCCAGCCAAAGAAGAAGCCACTGGATGGAGAATATTTCACCCTTCAGGTACCAAGTCTTGAGACCTCTTATCAGGTTGAAAGTTTCCAGTCTAACACTAAAAATGCCATTTTCTTCTTGACTGCTTTGCCTGCAATTGGGGCATTTGCCATCAGGGGGCAATGATGCCTCAAAGACAATGGCTCCTGGTTGTACCTAACTAACTTCAGAATACCAACTTATACCATAATATATATTTTAAAGGACCAGACCACCTTTCAAAAAGAAAATTGTTAAAGAAAGCATGAAAATGATTCTATGACTTTGCCTGATACAGATGCTACTTGACTTACGATGGTGTTACTTCCTGATAAACTCATTGTAAGTTGAAAATATTGTAAGTTGAAAATGGATTTGATACACCTAACCTAAAAGGAACATCATAGCTTAGCGTAGCCTACATTTATTTTTAATGGAGACAGCATCTTGTTCTGTTAACCCAGACTGGATTACAGTGACATGATCATAGCTCATTATACCCTTGAATTCCTGGGCTCAAGCAATCTTCTCACCTCTGTCTCCCTAGTAGCTAGGACCATTAGTATATGGCACCACTCCCAGCTAATTTTTAAAATTTTTGTAGAGATAGGGTCTCACTATGTTGCCCAGGCTGGTCTCTAGCCTACTTTTTTGAGACAAGGTCTTGCTCTGTCACCCAGGCTGGATAGAGTGCAGTAGTAGTGCAGTCACAGCTCACTGCAGCCTCCACCTCCCAGGCTCAGACCATCCTCCCAGCTCAGCCTCCCAAGTCTCTGGATCTATAGGCCCACACCACCATGCCTGGCTAATTTTTATTTTGTAATCATTTTATTTATTTATTTATTTTTAAGACAGTCTCACTCTGTTGCTCAGGCTAAAGTGGCACAATCTCAGCTCACTGCAGCCTTGACTTCCCTGGGCTCAGGTAATTTCAGCCTGCCAAGTAGCTAGGACTATAGGCACATGCCACCACACCCGGCTAACTTTTTTATTTTCTATGAAGTTGAGGTCTTGCTATGTTGTCCATGCTGCTATCAAATCCCTGGGCTCAATCAGTCCTTCCACCTCAGCCTCCCCAAGTATTGGGATTACAGGCATGAGCTACCACACTCAGCCCTAGCCTACTTTAAACATGCTCAGAACATTTAAGTTACCTTTACCCTACAGTTGGGCAAAGTCATCTAACACAGAGCCTATTTTATTGTAATAAAGTGTTGGATATCGTGATTTATTGAATATTGTACGGAAAGTAGGAAACAGTACGGTTACGTGAAAGGAGACACAGTCGGGCTGGGCACAGCGAGGCTCAAAAAAAAGAAAAGGCCAGGCGTGGTGGCTCATGCCTGTAATTTTAGCACTTTGGGAGGCCAATGCAGGCAGATCACCTGAAGTCAGCAGTTCAAGACCAGCCTGGCCAACATGGTAAAACCTGTCTCTACTAAAAAATACAAAAAGTAGCCGGGCGCGTTGGCTCACGCCTGTAATCCCAGCACTTTAGGAGGCCAAGGCGGGTGGATCACAAGGTCAAGAGATCGAGACCATCCTGGTCAACATGGTGAAACCCCGTTTCTACTAAAAATGCAAAAAATTAGCTGGGCATGGTGGCAGGTGCCTGTAATCCCAGCTACTCAGGAGGCTGAGGCAGGAGAATTGCCTGAACCCAGGAGGCAGAGGTTGCAGTGAGCCGAGATCGCGCCATTGCTCTCCGGCCTGGGTAACAAGAGCGAAACTCCGTCTCAAGAAAAAAAAAAGAAAGAAAAATACAAAAAGTAGCTGGGCATGGTGGTGTGTGCCTGTAGTCTCAGCTACTCAGGAGGCTGAGGCAGGAGAATCACTTAAACCCAGGAGGCTGAGGTTCCGGTGAGCTGAGATCACATCATTGCACTCCAGCCTGGGTGACTGACGAGACTCTGTCTAAAAAAAAAGGGAGGGGGCGGGGCTAGTGGCTCACGCCTGTAATTCTAGCATTCTGGGAGACCGATGTGGGTGGATCACCTGAGGTCAGGAGTTCAAAACCAGCCTGGCCATCATGGTGAAACCCCATCTTTAAACAAAATAATTAAAAAAAAAAAAAAAGAAAGAAACGAAACGAAGCACAGTCACATGCATCTGTAATCCCAGCTACTCGAGAGGCTAAGGCAGGAAGATCACTTGAGCCCAGGAGTTTGAGTCCAGCCTGGACAACATAGTAAGACATCATCTCTAAAATTTAAAGAAGGGCCAGGCACAGTGGCTCACACCTGTAATCCCAGCACTTTGGGAGGTAGAGGTGGGTGGATCACCTGATGTCAGGAGTTCGAAACCAGTCTGACTAACATGGTGAAACCCCGTCTCTATTAAAACACAAAAATTAGCCAGTATGGTGGATTACGCCTGTAGTCTCAGCTACTCAGGAGGCTGAGGCACAAGAATCATTTGAACCCTGGAGGCAGAGATTGCAATGAGCCAAGATCGCACCAATACACTCCAGCCTGGGCAACAGAGCAAGACTCTGTCTCAAAAAAAAAAAAAAAAAATAGAATTTTTTAAAAAAGTCAGTTGTATGGTTACTTGAAGTACAGTTTCTACTAAATGCATGTTGCTTTTGTACTATCATTAAGTCAAAAAAAATTGTAAATTGAACTATCTTAACTCAGTGACTGTGTATACGTATTTCTCCCCCTCCTCTCTTGCTGCAGATCCATGGGCGTGAGCGCTTTGAGATGTTCCGAGAGCTGAATGAGGCCTTGGAACTCAAGGATGCCCAGGCTGGGAAGGAGCCAGGGGGGAGCAGGGCCCACTCCAAGTAAGTGACCACAGCCCCTTCCTGGCCCCACTCTCCTGCCTTCCTATGTTACAAAGCCATAGGATTCCATCCTCATCCTGCCTTTATGGTAAAAGGCAGCTGATCCTGTCTCATTGGGTCCTAGCCAGGCACAAACTTTTTTTTTAGTCTTCCTCCAGTTGAATCATAACCACATTCTTGGCCGGGCACAGTAACTCATGCCTTTAATCCCAGCACTTTGGGAGGCCAAGGCGGGCGGATTACGAGGTCAGGAGATTGAGACCATCCTGGCCAACATGGTGAAACCCCGTCTCTACTAAAAATACAAAAATTAGCTGGGCGTGGTGGCACGCACCTGTAGTCCCAGCTACTTGGGAGGCTGAGGCAGGAGAATCGCTTGAATCCAAGAGACAGAGGTTACTGTGAGCTGAGATTGTGCCACTGCATTCTAGCCTGGCAACAGAGCAAGACTCCATCTCAAAAAAAAAAAAATGTGGTAAGGGAAGATGACGATACACTCTGAGGTGCTCAGTAAAAGTAAACATTTGCATGTGGTGTGGCTCAAATTCCCCTTGTACCAGCCTTAGGCCCTTCAAAGCCTCAGTCAGGGAAAAGCGGCACAGATCCTCTGACTCATGTGATGTATCTCTTCTCCCTGCTTCTGTTTGCTACAGCCACCTGAAGTCCAAGAAGGGGCAGTGTACCTCCCGCCATAAAAAACTAATGGTCAAGAGAGAGGGACCTGACTCAGACTGACATTCTTCGCTTCTTGTTCCCCACTGACAGCCTCCCACCCCATCTCTCCCTCCCCTACCATTTTGGGTTTTGGATCTTTGAACCCTTGCTTGCAATAGGTGTGCATCAGAAACACCCAGGACTTTGGTTTCCTTTGTCCCGGGGTCTGACTGAGAAAGTTGGCCTGCATTTGTGTTTTGTTGTGGGGAGGAGGATGGGGGTTAGGACATACCAGCTTCAATTGTAAGGTTTTTACTGTGAGGGATGTTTGGGAGATGTAAGAATTGTTCTTGCAGGTAAGGGTTAGTTTATAATCAACCACACACTAGGCAGGGGCCCACTTCTTCACTGTACTAACCAGGGAAGCTGTCCCACACTCTTTAATTTCGTCTAACTTCAAGGTCCATAGCTATGAAATGCTGGCCTTTGGACCTACCTCACGGAGTATGTTGTGAGGGTGAATGAAATAATGTATGTCTGGCCTTGAAACCATTTTTTATTATATGGGGTCTTGAACTTGACCCCCTTGAGGGTGCTTATTCCCCGTCCCTGTTGGTCAGTGGGTTGGTAGTTTCTGCATTTGGGCAGCTGATTCGGTAGAGGGCGTTGCCAAGTCTCAGCTTGCCTGGCCAAATCCTCTCTGACAACCTCTTGGTGAACCTTAGCACCTAAAAGGAAATCTCAGCCCATCCCACACCCTGGAGATTTCATTTCTTGTGTATGATGATCTGGATCCACCAAGACTTGTTTTATGCTCAGGGTCAATTTCTTTTCTTTTTTCTTTGAGGCGGGGTCTTGCTCTGTTGCCCAGGCTGGCGTACAGTGGTGATCTTGGCTCACCGCAGCCTTCACCTCTCTGGCTCAAGCAATTCTTCTGCCTCAGCCTTTCAAATAGCTGGGACCACAAGCTCATGCCACCACAGCTGGCTAATTTTTACATGTTTTGTAGAGATGGAGTCTTGATATGTTGGCCAGGCTGGTCTCAAACTCCTGGGCTCAAGAAATCTGCCTGCCTCAGCCTCCCAGAGTGCTGGGATTACAAGTGTGAGCCACCGTGTCCAGCTGGAAGGGTCAATGCCTTTTACATTCTGCAAGCACATCTGCATTTTCACCCCACCCCTTCCCCCCCTTCCCTTTTTATATCCCATTTTTATATCAATTTCTTATTTTGCAATAAAACTTTGTTGCCACCTGTGTGTCTGAGGGGTAAATGCCAGTGCAGGCTGTGGGGGTCAGCAGGTGCAGGGGTGAGTGAGGAGGTGAAGTTGGGAAGCAGCCACCTGAGTCTGCAAGGAGTGTGGGCTGGCAGGGGGGTTGATGCCTGGGTTCCGGGAGGGGAACAAAGGCAGGAGACTGGGTCAGTCTGTGGGCTGCATGACAATAAGGCGCGGGGGTGACTCCATTCATAACTCAGGAACCAACTGTCCCTCCTCCCCTCCTGCTGGGGCTGGCACGAGGTTCTCTCCCTCCCCTGCTTCTAGGATTGGGCTGCTGCCCCTTCGGCAGCCTCTCACCAAGGATTACAGGATTTAAACGTCTGATTTAGCAAGGCTGAGCCTCCAGGGTGGCCATCTGCTCCTCTAGAAAGTGGCAGGATACCTGGGTTCCAGAGGGAATGGGGGTGGGTGCTACTAGATGGAGAGAGGCCAGTGGGAGGCCTGCCAGCCAGGGTCCCGGGAAAGTGGGGGCAGCTAAGGTAAGGGTAGGGGTGTGGGGCTAGGCCCTTCCCAGCATCCCCTTATCCTGGGCCTCATGCCAGGTGGTTGAATGAATTGAAGCTTTAAACTCTGCCAGGAAAACCTTTCAAAGGGCTTCTTGGGATAGGGAAGAGAGTCGGGTTGAGGAGCTCAGTACCCCCTGCCCGTGCTCCTCAGGGCTGCTGGCTCCCAGGGAGGGGGGATGGGGGCAGGCAGGCTCTTCCCCATCACCGACTGCTGTCTGAGCCAGTGCTTGGAGGGGCGATCAGACATGGCTTGTCCTGCCTCCTCCAATTTGGTGGAGATGGGTGTTAGGGTCCAGAGGGGCTTCTGGGGCCACTGTCCTCTCAGCTCATCAGCCAGGCTGAAGGTGCCAGCAGGAGCCCCTTGCCTTGCCCCAAGACAGCTATGAAGCCACCAGCCTTCTTTCAAGACCACTTTTTTTTTTCTCTTTCTTACTAGGAAATGCGAAATGCTCTCCCCAGGAGCTCTGGATCCACCTCTTTCAGAGACTCTTAAATATCTGTCCCTATACAGCAGGCAAACTAGGGCTCGTGATGCTCAGTCCTGGTCTTGCTTCTGTAGACAAGTCACCTCAGTGAGCTTCCTTTTCCTTTATCTTTTTTTTTAAGCTTTATTGGGCATAATTGACCCCCCAGAATTGCATGTATTTAAGGCATGCAATGTGATGATTTGATATGGGGTATATTGTGAAATCATTACAACGATCAAATTAAGACGTGTCCATCACACAGTTACCCTTTGTGCCTCTGCACACGTGCTCACCTTTGATGAAGACACAGATCTACTCTGCAAATTTCAAGGAAATGGAAAAATCTCCCTTTCTGACAACCGTCCTCCACCCTTTTACTCACCACCTTTCCCTAGATGGTGTCCCTAGCTCTGTTTTTAATTCTGCTGTGCTGCTTCAGATCCATTCTGACTCTGCCAGTCCCTTCTTTATGAGCTGATAGATTGCAGGATTGAGAATTATGGCCAGCTGTGGTGGCTCATGCCTGTAACCCCAGCACTTTGGGAGGCTAAGGCAGGTGAATCACCTGAGGTCAGAAGTTGGAGACCAGCCTGACCAACATGATGAAACCCCATCTCTACTAAAAATGCAAAATTAGCTGGGCATGGTGGTACACGCCTGTAATATCAGCTACCTGGGAGGCTGAAGCAGGAGAATTGCTTGAACCTGGAAAGCGGAGGTTGCAGTGAGCAGAGATCTTGCCATTGCACTCCAGCCTGGGTGACGGAGTGAAAGTCCGTCTCAAAAAACAAAAAGAATTACGAAGCTGAGACTTCAGGCCAGCTCCCCTATACTATATATCCTAAACTCTCTGGTCCTACTTGCTGGCTTCTTTCCCTCTGGGCCCATCCCATCTAGACAGCAGGTACTCATTGGTACCTTACCCAGTGCCAGGAGCTGTTCTAGGCCCTGGGGACCTATGGCAGACAGGGTCCCTAGCCTCCCACTCAAAAGAGCCCAGGCCTTATTCTAATGAGATATGAAATAAAATCTCCCAATTCCTCATGGTTCCAATCTAAACTTGTAATTCACAACCTTAAACCAGCATGTTCTATTTTTTTATTTAGAAAACATTTCCAGCTGGGCACTGTGGCTCACACCTGTAATCCCAGCACTTTGGGAGGCTGAGGCAGGCGGATCACAAGGTCAGGAGTTTGAGAGCAGCCTGACCAACATGATGAAACCCGTCTCTACTAAAAATAGAAAAATTAGCCAGGCGTGGTGGTGCACACCTGTAATCCCAGCTACTCAGGAGGATGAGGCAGGAGAATTGCTTGAACCCAGTTCAAGAGGTCGGAGTTCGAGACCAGCCTGGCCAACATGGTACAACGCTGTCTGTACCAAAAATACAAAAATTAGCCGGGTGTGCTGGCGGGCACCTGTAATCCCAGCTACTCGGGAGGCTGAGGTGGGAGGCAGAGGTTGCAATGAGCAAGATTGTGCCACTGCACTCCAGCCTGAGTGACAGAGTAAGACTCTGTCTCAAAAAAAAAAAGTGGAAAAGATGCATGAAAGTGTGTATGATAATGACCCAATTTTGGTATAACAATGACCAAAACCCAATGATCCTTTTCTATATGATGAGGGATGTGTGTGTGTGTGTGTGTGTGTGTGTGTGTATTATGAATTAATGATAAAATTGTGTATATGTGTATGCATATGTGATAAAGCTATTTTTCAAGACAAATACTAGGACCAATTAATTGCAAAAAGAAAAAAGGCCCCAAGAAGAAAATAAAAATTAGCTATAGGCTCCCCTTTCCCCCATATACCACAAGAAGCATCACATATATTTTTTTCTATGCTTATGTGTATGTGTTTACTTTTACACAAAATTAGGCTCATATAGTTCACATTGTTTGGACATCCATGTTTCTTCTAGGCAACTTTTCTCACCTGTCTCTGGGCATTTGCTGATGCCCTTTTCTCTCCACACCACCCCCCTTTTTTTTTTTTTTTTTTTTTGAAACAGTTTCGCTCTCCTTACCCAGGCTGGAGTGCAGTGGCGCGATCTCTGCTCACTGCAACCTCTGCCTCCTGGGTTCAAGTAATTCTCCTGCCTCAGCTTCCTGAGTAGCTGGGATTACAGGTGCGCACCACTATGCCCAGCTAATTTTTGTATTTTTAGTAGAAATGGGTTTCACCATGTTGACCAGGATAGTCTCAATTTCTTGACTTCGTGATCCACCTGCCTCAGCCTCCCAAAGTGCTGGTATTATAGGCGTGAGCCACCACGCCTGGCCAACCGCTCCTCCTTTAAGCTCCCGATTAAATGCTCCATCCTCTGAGAAACTTTCCAGTAATGCCCCGGCAGACCACGGCTGACAGCTCTGAATTTTGTCATATTTTGTCACCGGCTTTCTCCCCTTCCTTGAAGCATGTTTAGGTCTACCTTGTATGAGAGTTTCTCGTGTGCTCCTCACCTCTCCCGTTAAACTGGGGAGCTCCTTGGGGGCAGGACCTCTGCCTCTTTCGTAAGTGTGTCCTCACAGTGCCTAGAATGCACACAGTAGGCACTTTATAAGCATTACTGTACAAAAGGGACGTAGGCTTCCTGCCTCACTTGTATGGAGTCATCTCAAGATAGTGTACGCCAAATTAGTCAAGGTGAAGAAGGTAGATGCTTGGACACTGGAAGGAAGAGGTCAAAGCTAGGAAGCGGCCTCCAAAGCCCAGGGGATCCCCCTGGGACCACCCAGATCCACCCTCCACTCCTTCCCTGGACTCTTCCAGCTGCTCAGAAAGGAACAACCCACACACAGGGCTCTGTGTATGATATATATTTATATATATAATTGCTCTCATTTTACTTAATCCTCTTTTTACAGTAGATCTGACACAGGCATTAAATAACTGCAGAGAGAGACTGTGGTGGGGGGCAGGGGCGGGGAAACATGGAGACCCGAAGGGAAGAAACACAGATTCAGCTAGAGAAAAAGGGAAGGGTCCACCAGCGGGTGGAGTATGGATGCTGCCGCATTAAAAAAGAAAAAGAAGGTTAGAGGGCAGGAGGAAGTGAAGCGATTCTGGAGGACAAAGAGTTAAAATACTCTACAGCTACGGAGTATTCAAAGCAGGAGGCAGAAGGCCCCTCATTTGACATTCTATGGGTATTACGGGTTTTTTTTGTTTTTGTTTTTGTTTTTTTAAAGGCAGAGGGGTCTGAAGGAGATGGAACCAAGACATTCAGAGGCTAGATTTGGAACTTCCAGGCCTGCATGCGGAGGAAAGGAAAGGAGTTAGTGATTCGTTGATAACTTGCTAAGAGAAACCAGAGAGACGATCGTGGGGGCAGATCTGGGCTCGGGGGAAGGAGGTGGAATAGTCCCAAAGCCAGCTGATGTTTCCAAGGTGGCCACTGGGGACGGAGCAAAAATGGCCACCCCTCCCCCAGAGCTCCCTGGGAAGTGGAACTTGAAGGATATTCTGGGAAGGCAAATGGGGGAAGGGAGCCATCCATAAAAACAAAGTGGATATTCAGCCTAGGTCAACCCCGCCCCTCTGGGTAGCAGCTATTTGGGTGATAGAAGGGCCTAGGAAGAAACTGAAGCTGGGTGCAGTGGCTCACGCCTATAATCTCAACCCATTGGGAGGCCAAGATGGGCAGATCACCTGAGGTCGGGAGTTCAAGACCAGCCTGGCCAACATGGTGAAACCCCGTCTCTACTAAAAATACAAAAATAATTAGCCAGGCGTGGTAGCAAATGCCTGTAATCCCAGCTACTCAGGAGGCTGAGGCAGGAGAATTGCTTGAACCTGGGAGGCAGAGGTTGCAGTGAGCCAAGCCAAACGCCATTGTACTCCAGCCTGGGCAACAAGTGTGAAACCTCGTTGAAAGAGAGAGAGAAAAAGGGAAAGAGAGGAAGGAAGGAAAGAAAGAAACTGAAGTCAGTCAGGGGCTGCTAGAGGATTTTTGGGAAGGGTCAACACAGCAGGCCTCGCTTCCATTCCTTCATTTCCCAGCTCACAGAATCACCAGAGGGTGAGCAGCAGAACATGCCAGGAAAGAGGGAAAAGGCCACAGAATCACCTTGTCCTCAGTCACAAAGGGGTGCCTTTCAGAGGAGGGAACAGGGATGAAGAGGCAGAGAAGAGCTTCCCAGGAGCCAGATAAGTTCAAAGTCACCAAGATAGTGACTGTGTAGATAGGGAGAAAGTGAGAGAGAGAGATCAAGGGACAGTGGCTAGTGCTTAGGAATGGAAGGACGGAGTGCCACAATCATCTCTGGAAGCAAATGAGGCACGAGTGCACGTTTGTGTGTGGGGGGTGGGGAGGGTGGGGGAGGCGGGTGTAGGTGGTGGGTGGGTGGGTCAATGGGCACTTCCTATAACTCTCAAGGGATATGCAGGCAGGAGAGTGGGTAGCTCTCACAGCTAAACCAGAACTAGAAAGGCTCCTAACGCCTCTGTGGCCATCTTGGTAGCCCAGCTCCCTCTGACTGAGCTGAGGTTGGGAGAAGTTGGTGGAAAATGCAAGTGGCCAGAGAACCGCCATGGACTTCAGGCTGGGTTGAGAAGTCAAGGAAAAGGGTGTGAGGCTCAGACAAGTCATAGCTTTGTTATCAAAAATACCTTTGGGGTGGGTGAAGGAGGGATCAGGCAGGGTCAGGGACATTCCAGAAGCATCCACAGGAGAGAGGTGGGGTGGGAGAAAGGGGCCTCAGGTTTTGTTGATGCGGAGTTTGAATGCCACGCGGCCAGCAAACTTGTCTCGCTCATCGTCTGTGGCGATGTTGGCGGCATTGATGCGGCATTCTACATTCACCTCCACATTGGGGGTCACATTCAGGAACTTCACGGCCACCAGGGGCTGTGTGTAGTTTACCTGGGCCGGAGGAGCAGGGCAGGGTCTAGGCCTGGGCCTACTCAGCCTCCTTCCCTAGCTCACCACCCACCCCCGCCATCCACCTGGGCTTGTACTAGGACTTACGTGGAACTTTTTGCCATAGTAGGGGAAGTACATGAGGTCGATGTTGCCATTGGAAGGGAACATGACGAAATGGCCGAGATTCTCAGCATCTTCATCTCGCTGTGGGGGTGCAGGAAGATGGGGGTGAGCCAGTTAGGGATGGCAGGCACCCAGGAGCTCACCAGACTTCCATTTGTTCTTTTTTTCTTCCTTCACCCCCAATTTTGCCTGCCTCAAGTCTGCCTCCCTGGAGCTGTGAGTCTGCGTGTGTGTCTGCATGTGTAGATGAGGGTATGGTCTGTCTCTGTCATCATTCTAGGAACTCCTGAAGGCTGGTAATGACACGAAAGCCTCCTACTCCACTCCTACCCCGAGTTCTTACCCCATCCTCAGGAATCAATTTCTGGAGCAGAGCCAAGAAAGAACAGAAAAATGATTAAGGGTTGAATAGGAAGCAAGGAAGGGGATGTGAAGCGGGTCGTAGGTTTCTAGAAAGGACAGAGCAGTGAATGGAGGGGAACAGGATCCCAAGGACAACGTAGTGGTGGCAGATGGCACTAACAGATCAGCAGCTACCAGATACCTAGAAGGAACTGAGGGGTAGGGGCCATAGGGAGGGAGAGCAAAAAATATGGACAATCCGGGAATAAAGGAGAAGGTGGAAGGGTTAGGGAAGAAGCCAGAGGCCAGGGCATTGGTGGAGGAGGGGGTGTGTCTGCCCCTACGAGAGCAGACCTCTGCATCCTAGAGAGAAGCAAGAGGAGTTCGAGGCCCTTGGCTTTCAAGCTACAGTGAAGCCCACGAGCCCACTCTTACCCCCTTGTTTCTATGGTGATGGGGCTTCTGGGAGCAAAGAAGATAGGGAGAGACAGGTGAATTACACAGAAACCATGAAGGATACACAGGTGAGCAGGCAGACAAGGCCCAGTGAACTCACCTTCCCAGCACAGGTAACATTCATGCTCTGGTTTGCTCCTGCATAGAAGTTGATGACCTGGAGTGAGGATGGAAGGTAAAGAGAGTCAGAGGAAGAAGTTGTAAAAGATGGGTATCCAGACCAAGCTAAACCAGGCACTATAGTCCCAATTGCTAAGGAGGTTGAAGTGGGAGAATAGTATAATTCCAGGGGTTCAGATAGCTTAATTCTATGGGCAACATAGTGAGAACCTGTCTCAAAAAAAAAGGCAGGGGGGGCGTCCAGCCTCCTAGCTATAGAGCTGAGCCTCCAAGGGCCCCGCCTCTCTTTCTCTCTCAGCTACACAAACATCCACATTTCTCTCATGTCCATTAACCCCAGTGAAAGGATGCAACTGTCTGCAGGTGATGGCCCCAGATCCTTCCTCCGTTCACCCTGGGGACCACGGTCATGGGTACCCGGTTCATCTTGATGAAGACACAGGGCTGCCCAGTGCTGTAACCATAGTGGGTGGGGTCCCCAATGCCGGAGCAGATGCCCAGCTGGGTCCGGTTGAATTGGCAGGCACGTTTGGGGTAGTTGAGGACTCCATTATCTGGCTGTTCGTAATAGCGCCCAGGGCGGCAGACATCATTCTTCTGGGCTTGGATAGAGTCGTTGTAAGCTAAAGAGGTGGGAGAGGAGGGAGTCAGGAGCCAGATGTTCCATTTCCAAGGTCCCCAATCCCCTGCCCGAAGTCTTGACCTGCCACACAGCCCGGCCAACACTCACGCTCCAAGAACTTGTTGAGCTTCTGAACATGCTGGTCCCAGCTTTCAGTGTCACTGACATTGACAATGACATCAAGGTTCTCAGTCTTGGGGCGAATCATCAAGCCTACAGCCGACAAAGGCAGAAGTTAGGGGTATCTATAAGATGAGGGACTTCACACAGAGGGAAGAAAATGGACCCAGAAAACACCAGGGTGCGGACAGCAGTGAATATCTGAGATTGTCTTCATGGGAGGGTGATTTCCCGTGGTTATCTGCCACATGCCCAAATCACACAGTTCCCAGCTGTAGGAAATGGGAAGGAGGAAAGATTCCAAGAAGTTCCCAAGCATATAGGGATTGGGTCATCAGAATCAAACTCCTGGAAAGAACTACTAGTTCCTTCTAGAGGTTTAGGGGCACAACAGCAATTAGTGTAGCTGGCAGGGGGAGCCTTTGCACTCACCTGGTGTGGCCAGTCGGTCCTGGTACTTGGGGGTATGGTCGGAGACAGTCTGTAGCATCACCCACATGGTGAGAGAGAACATGGCGGTGAGGAAGCCATAAAAGACGAGGTAGAAGAGGAGGATAAAGGCTAGGGAGGAGGAAACAGGGTGAGCAGGGCCTACGGTTCCCACTATACCCTCTCCTATCCCCACGCACCCTCCTACCCACTCTGAAGTTCGGCACTGGGCCTGGTCACAGACCCACAGAGATGTCTTAGAGCCTTCCCCTGGGAGCAAAATAAGACAATGGAAACAGGCAGTTGTGTCTGGCTTTCAGCCATGACTCCCAGCCCCTCCCCTCCCCCGGCCCTAGGGCACAGTGAAGCCCGACCTTGTGGAAGCCACAGAGACCTAAACTCTCCTTGCTGGGGCAACTCCAAGTGTAGGCTGCTGTCATTTTGCCTCCAATTACATTTCCAACTTTTCAGCCATGCATAGTCCTGAAAAGGCACACATCTGTTACCTCTACACTCATACTCATGCTTAAAGCTGTGCTAGCATGATGACATTTTTTTTTTGAGATGGTGTCTTGCTCTGTTGCCAGGCTGGAGTGCAGTGGTGCGATCTCAGCTCACTGCAACCTCTGCCTCCGGGTTCAAGAGATTCTCCTGCCTCAGCCTCCTGTATAGCTGGGACTACAGGCCTGTACCATCACGCCCAGCTAATTTTGTATTTTTAGTAGAGACTGGGTTTCTCCATGTTGGTGGTCAGGCTGGTCTTGAATTCCCGACCTCAGATAATCCACCTGCCTCGGCCTCCCAAACTGCTGGGATTACAGGCGTGAGCCACTGCACCTGGCAAGCAAACTCTCATACCACCTTGCAGAACATGGAACCTCAGGTTTGAATAGCAAAATCTCTCTCCTGATGCCCTGGAGAAGCCAAATTTTGATCAGTTCCTGAAATGAAAGACCTAACACTCTAGCCTAGCTATAAATCTCTCAGAGACAGCTTGTTAGAACCTTTGACAGTCACTCCACCCTCAGCTCACACCCAGCACCCTGGGCAGAGGCAGGGAGGAAAGGCAGAATCTCCCACAGCTTTCCCTTGGCTGGATCTCTCTATGGCTACCCCGCCTGAAGTAAGGGCCCCCTGTTCCCACCACTTTGGAAGGAATCCCAATCCTTCCACCTCAGAAGACACTTCTTCTTTTTTTTTTTTTTTTTTTTTTTTTGAGATGGAGTTTCGCTCTTGTTACCCAGGCTGGAGTGCAATGCTGCCATCTCGGCTCACCGCAACCTCCACCTCCTGGGTTCAGGCAATTCTCCTGCCTCAGCCTCCTGAGTAGCTGAGATTACAGGCACGCGCCACCATGCCTGGCTAATTTTTTGTATTTTTTTTTAGTAGAGACAGGGTTTCACCATGTTGACCAGGATGGTCTCCATCTCTGACCTCGTGATCCACCCGCCTCGGCCATCCACAGTGCTGGGATTACAGGCTTGAGCCACCTCGACCGGCCTCAGAAGACACTTCTACCATGAAGTCCTCCAGTTCTCCCAAGTATTGCTGGATTCTTCCCATCCCAGGGGCTGGACTTTGAGTTCCCTGAGGGCATTGATTGCATGGGACCCACCTTGGGGGCCCTTGAGCTGGTGGACTGATGGGGACAGTGCCCAATCAGTTTGGAAAAATTGTAAACCGTGTCACACAGGGTCCCCTGTGTCTCAGTGACCCAGCTTGACCATCCCTCTGGGGAAAATTCCACCCCTCCTCACCTGCACCTGTGCGGGTCACCAGAGCCCCCTGACCACTACAACTCCCTAAGCCCTGCCATGGTCAGCCTGGGCAGGCTCCCAAGCCATCTGACTGCCACAGACACTCGGCTGGCTGATGCACACATCTCACCACAGTGACCACTCCTCCGTCCCCCACCGACATGGGAGCAAAACCTGCAGCCTCCGAAAAACTCATACTATCAGCAGCCCCCCCACCTACAAAGCAGTCACAGAAGGCTCCCAAGGCCAGGCGGTGGGATACAGACAACTTCCGCCGTGAAGAACCCCCCTAACATCCCCCCTAAGACCCGCCCCCTCAAGAACATTCCTAGGGTCCAGGGGGTGGGCACGAGCTAAAAATAAACGGGGCTGAAGAGCTAGTGAGAGCCGGAGGTAGGGAAGGGGCGCTCTTTGGAGGTGGGGGACGCCCGTGTGGAGCGGACAGGCCCCAAGAGGGAGTGTGAGCGCCGCGGCGCTGACACACAGGCAGAGCAGGAGACCCCCCGCCTGAAGGGGCTCCGCGGGGGGCGGGAAGGCGGCTGTGACCTACTTTCTCCGCCTCCGCACGGCCAGCCGGGGAGATTAGACTGGCGATCCGGCCCCCTCCCAGCCCAGAGCCCGGCAGGGGGGCTGGACGCGGGGACCCGGGAGGGGAGCTGGGGCCGCGCTGGCGGGACCCTGCGCCCCCCAAGGCGTCGCCCCGCGGCTCCCCCACCGCCCCTCGTGTGCCGGCCCTGCGTACCCCAGCTGGTCCCGGTGCGGCCCATGAACTGGTGCGTCCTCGGGTTCCACACGAACTCCTTCCACTCCTCAACCACCTGCCCGCAGCTCTTCTTCTCTTTCTGGATGACCATCTTGGCGGCGCGGGGCGAGTCCCGGCCCGGGGCTGGGGGCTGCGGAGAAGCGGGGACGCCGCGCGCTGTAGCCCTCCACACACCCAAAAGCGCGGGGAGGGAAGGAGGCGAGGGCAAAGGAGACCCCCCTCAGATATGCAGCTGCTGCAAATTCCGAGGTGCACGGCCACGCGCTGCGGGGTGCTGGCAGGGCGGCGGAAGATGCACCGATCCTAGGCCCCCCAACTGCGATGAAAAGGGGTGCTGTCAGAGCAGGGGAGAATAACAAGAGGAAGGGGTATGAATGCAGCTTCACCCCCCCAAACCGCCTAGAAGCAAAGCGAAAAGGGGTGCAAAAACAGACGGCTACAAAAGCCGAGCAAAACGCAGAAAAAAGCGGGGTACAAAAAGGCAGGGAGAAGGGGGGGAGGGGGCCGCCCCGAAATCCAAGATGCAAAGAGGCTGTGGAAGGAAGCTCAAGGCTCCCTCCGCCAAGCAGAGACCACTGCACCAGTGGCGGCTTGGCCGCGGGGGTGGGGCGGGGACGCGCAGTTGGGGGACAGCCAGGGACTGGGGGCCCCCAGGCGGAGGCTCCGCTCCTCAGCAGTGCGGAGCCCGCGGTCGCGGATCGCGGTCTTTATACTCTGCGACTCTGAGGGTGCCCGCCCCCTTCCCACCCCCAGAAGCTCCACCTCCTCGCCACTGGCCCAGGCGACCTCATACATATGTAAATACGGAGATGATTGGGCCCGCCTCCGCCCACGCCCTCTGCCTCCTCTTAGGGACCCCGCGGTCTCCCGATTACCCCACCCTAGGTACTGGACTGGGACAGGGTGGGAGGAAGAGATAGAGGGCGTGTCCTGGCGGAGTAGAGGGAAAGATAACCCCAGAGAAACTCAGCGACAGAGAGAGAAGCTGATATATGCTCAAAGATGGGGGCCCCAGGCAGGGAGTTAGAAAGACACTAAGATAAAGATGCGGTGGAAGAGTCCGGGAGCAGATGGAGCCGAATGTCAGAGGAATAAAGAGCTAGAGATCAAGAAGTAGGCGAAGAGACCAGCCGGGAGGCTGGCCGAGCCAGGAGGGAAGTTAGGACAGGCCACGCAGAGATGGATAAAGGCCACCCCAAGAGGGACATTCCCCTGTTGGGAGCCGCTACCAGTCCTTCAGACTCCACCTTCTCCAATCTCACAGCCCATGTCCACACCACCGGCTCTGTCCATGTGCAGAGGCTTCCCCATCTTCCCATCACATCTCCCTGAAGCCCTCTCAACACCACATTCTCAGGCCCCAGCACTGCCCTGAGACCCCTGCCCTGCAGCCTGGTCTATTTCGGTTCTCTGCCTCCTGGCACCCCCACCCCCATGCCTGAACTTCCCTCCTTATGTGTCTACTTGGGTCAGCAAACCTTTACTGAGCATCTCTAGGGACTGTGTGCCGTAGCCCTGGGGAGGCCAGAGATGTTCAACTGAAGCCACAGCTCTCACAGAGCTCACAGTCTAGCAGGGGGGAGTAGACTTGCCTGTAAATACCACCTTTTTTTTTTTTTTTTGAGGTGGGGTTTCACCATGTTGGTCAGGCTGGTCTTGAACTCCCAACCTCAGGTGATCTGCCCGCCTTGGCCTCCAATACCACATATTAAGAATCATTATCTCGGCCAGGCCCAGTGGCTCATGCCTGTAATCCCAGCTCTATGGGAGGCCAAGGCGGCAGATCACCTGAAGGAAGGAGTTGGAGACCAGAGGTCAGGAGCTCAAGACCAGCCTGGCCAACATGGTAAAACTCCGTCTCTACTAAAACTACGAAAATTAGCCGGGTGTGCTTCTACAATCCCGGCTACTCAGGAGGCTGAGGCAGGAGAACTGCTTGAACCTTGGAGGCGGAGGTTGTAGTGAGCCAAGATCGTGCCATTGCAGTCCAGCCTGGGTGACAGAGTGAGACTCCATCTCAAAAAAAAAAAAAAAAGTCTGGGCACGGTGGCTCACACCTGTCATCCCAGCACTTTGGGAGGCCAAGGCAGGCAGATCACCTGAGGTCAGGAGTTTGAGACCAGCTGAACTAACATAGAGAAACTCCATTTCTACCAAAAATACAAAATTAGCCAGGCATGCTAGTGCATGCCTGTAAGCCCAGCTACTTGGGGGGCTGAGGCAGGAGAATTGCTTGAACCTGGGAGGTAGAGGTTTCAGTGAGGAGATTGCACCATTGCACTCACTGGGCAGCAAGAGTGAAACTCTATCTTAAAAAAAAAAAAAAGAAGAGGAAGAATTATCTCCACCTCTTTTAATTTTTTTTCAAATCTTGCTGATTTTCCTTGGAGAGATTTTTCTTCTCCTTTCAACCATCACCTTAAATCCTTAGCCCAAGTTCTCAACACCTCACATCCAAACTGTCAGCCGTGTCCTCAAACCCACTCCTTCCAGTCCAAAGCCAACTTCATGAACCTGCATAGTCACACAAGGCCCTTGCTCAATGTTTGGTTTAAAACTCTCAATTTTTTTTTTTTTACCCCCAAACATTCATGGAGCTGAATGCCATCAGTGACTTGAAATTCTTCATAGTCCTAATCTTTGAATATGTGCTTTGTAAGTGACGTCCAGTGGAGCACGGGTGCATGTGTGTGAACAGAGGAGATATGTGTAATATGCTGTCCTATTCAGACAGAGTTCCAGATGCACCATGAGCACAGAATTCTGGGGGACCTACAATGTGTGGGAGTTCAGCCAGACTCCAAATGAGTACAAGGTAAACATGTTATATCTACAACTGAATACATGGGGAGGCTGAGCGCAGCTGGTTGCTAAATTGGGTGTGAACATGGAAAGGCTCCTTCTGCAAGGAACCTCAAAAACAGTGGCTCAAACTTGTAATCCCAGGACTTTGAGAGACCCAGGAAGGAGGAGATCCCTTGAGCCCAGGAGTTCAAGACAAGTCTTGGCAATATGGCCAGACCCCATCTCTACGAAAAATTTCTTTAAAAATTAGGCTGGGGGCTGGGCGCGGTGGCTCACACCTGTAATCCCAGCACTTTGGGAGGCTGAGGCGGGTGGATCACCAGGGCAAGAGATCGAGACCATCCTGGTCAACATGGTGAAACCCCATCTCTACTAAAAATACAAAAAAAAAAAAAAAAAAAAATTAGCTGGGCATGGTGCTCGCCCTGTGCCTGTAATCCCAGCTACTCAGGAGGCTGAGGCAGGAGAATTGCCTGAACCCAGGAGGCGGAGGTTGCAGTGAGCCGAGATCGCACCATTGCACTCCAGCCTGGGAAACAAGAGCAAAACTCCGTCTCAAAAAAAAAAAAAAAAAAAATTAGGCTGGACGTGGTGGCTCACACCTGTAATTCAAGCACTTTGGAGACCAAGGTGGGCGGATCACCTGAGGTCCAGAGTTCAAGACCAACCTGATGAACATGGTGAAACCCCATCACCCCATCTTTTTTTTTTTTTTTTTGAGACGAAGTTTCGCTCTTTTTACCCAGACTGGAGTGCAATGGCACGATCTCGGCTCACCGCAACCTCCGCCTCCTGGGTTCAAGCAATTCTCCTGCCTCAGCCTCCAAGTAGCAGGGACTACAGGCGGGCACCACCATGCCCAGCTAATTTTTGTATTTTTAGTAGAGACGGGTTTCACCATGTTGGCCAGGATGGTCTTGATCTCTTGACCCCATGATCCACCTGCCTTGGCCTCCCAAAGTGCTGGGATTATAGGCGTGAGCCACCGCGCCCGGCCCCGAAACCCCATCTTTAAAAAAAAAAAAAATTAGCCTGGCACCAGGCACAGTGGCTGTTGCCTGTAATCCGAGTACTTTGAGAAGCCGAGGTAGGTGGATCACGAGGTCAAGAGATCAAGACCATCCTGGCCAACATGGTGAAACCCTGTCTCTACTAAAAATACAAAAATTAGCTGGGCATGGTGTAGTACCAGTCCCAGCTACTCGACAAGCTGAGGTAGGAGGATCTCTTGAATCCAGGAGGCAGAGATTGCAATGAGCTGAGCTTGCGCCACTGTACTCCAGCCTGGTGAAGAATGAGACTCCGTCTCAAAAAAAAAACTTAGCCAAGCATGGTGGCACACACCTCTAGTCCCAGCTACTTAGGAGGCTGATCTGGGAGGATTGGATCGCTATGATCACACCGCTGCACCCCAGCATAGGTGATAGAATGAGACTATGTCTTTTTTTTTTTTTAGAGATGGGGTTTCACCATGTTGGCAAGGATGATCTCGATCTCTTGACATTGTGATCCGCTGGCCTCGGCTTCTCAAAGTGCAGGGATTACTGACAGAAGCCACCATGCCCAGCCCAAGACTATCTCAAAAAAAAAAAAAGAAGAAGAAGAAAAAGAATGAATAAGTGGGAGTGCTGAGAGCTGAGAGACCACACTCTCCACTGAGAGCAGAACTTGGCTTTGAACACAGAAAGCAAGCAATGGCATTTTAGGAGGCATGGATGATCACCATATCTTATGAGATCTTTTCTTAGTCATGTTACTTCCTTGTTTGAGCCACTTAGCCTGGCAAAAATGACATAGAAGGAAAGGCAAGGCTGAGGCAACCCATGGTTCCTGTTCCTTTATCAGGGAGCTGAAGGTAGAAAAATGTTAGGCTGGGCTCACACCTGTAATCCTAGCACTTTGGGAGGCCAAGATGGGAGGATTGCTTCAGGCCAGGAGTTTGAGACCAGTATGGACAAAATCAAGACCCCCATTTTTTTTTTTTGAAATGGAGTTTTGCTCTTGTTGCCCAAGCTAGAGTACAATGGCACAATCTCGGCTCACTACAACCTCCACCTCCTGTGTTCAAGAGATTCTCCTGCCTCAGCCTCCCGAGTAGCTGGGATTACAGGCTCTTACCACCATGACCCACCCATTTTTTGTATTTTTAGTAGAGATGGGGTTTCATCATGTTAGCCAGGCTGGCCTAGAACTCCTACCTCAGGTGATCCGCCTGCCTGGGCCTCCCAAAATGCTGGGATTACAAGCGTGAGCCTCCGCTCCTGGCCTGAAAAATGTTTAAACATCTTTTTGTTTTTTGAGACAGGGTCTCAGTCTGTCACCCAGGCTGGAGTGCAATGGCATGAACTCGGCTTACTGCAACTTCTGCCTCCCAGGCTCAAGCAATTCTCAAGCCTCAGCCTCCTGAGTAGCTAAATTACAGGCACCTGCCACCACAGTCAGCTAGTTTTTGTATTTTTGGTAGAGACAAGGTTTTGCCATGCTCACCAGGCTCAAACTCCTGACCTCAAGTGATCCGCTTGCCTCAGCCTCCCAAAGTGCTGGGATTACAGGTGTGAGCCACCTCGACTGGCCTGTTTTAAACATTTAAACATTAAATAGCAAAGAAAAGAATACCATGAGAAAGACAGGTGTGGTGATGTGTGCCTGTAACCCCATCTACTTGGAGGCTGAGACTGGAAGATCATTCAGTGGACATGCTGGGTGCAGTGGCTCACACCAGTAATTTCAGCAATTTGGGAGGCTGATGTGGGTGGATCACTTGAGTCCAGGAGTTCGAGACCAGCCTGGCCAACATGGCAAAACCCTGTCTCTAGTAAAAATACAAAAATTAGCCTAGCATGGTGGCACGTACCTGTAATTCCAGCTACTCAGGAGGCTGAGGCAGAAGAATTGCTTGAACCCGG